AAATAAAGAAGAGGAAATGGACATGGGCCGGGCATGTAGCGCGTAGACGGGATAACTGCTGGTCATTAAGGGTAACTAACTGGATTCCCAGAGTAGGGAAGCGGGTTAGGGGGAGACAGAAGGTTAGGTGGGCAGACGAGATTAAGAAGTTTGCGGGTATAAATTGGCAGCAGCAAGCACAGGACCGGGTTAACAGGCGGAACATGGAAGAGGCCTTTGTCGTGCAGTGGACGTAGTCAGGCTGATGATGATGATGATGATGATGATGATGATTTCGTGCCTAATAAAGGAAACGAGCCTTTAAGGTTACACTTCCTTTCATTTCATAACGAGGGTCTCGTTCTGGCAGCCTTGACACCTACTTGATACGATACTAGGTGCTGCTGACGAACCGACCGCATGGCCGCGGTGCCAGTGAAGGCAGTTGTGGCCCTCCCAGTGCGGGAGAACGGTGACCAATTTGCGATTTTCAAGCCGCCAGCGTACTGTGTATAACCATTCTCTCATACTCTTTCTTCGTCGAATTTGCCGCCGGCTCAAGACACGTCTGAGCGACGCAGCGCGATTCCAGCGACAAACTCTTCTGCAGCTCTTCTTGCACCTGAAGGTGAAAGAAAGAAGAAACCTGCCTCATTTGGAGCAATTACGACTTCAGCTACTTCCATTTCTCAACGGCCACATCGGCCGCAACCTCCAAAAGGTCATTTTTCTTCCGAAGCTGAGCCCGGACACTACTGCTGCTGGCATCAAAAATGGATCTGTTTCCCATAGCTTGCCGGCGCTTCCAGACTAAGTTTCGGACCTATTCTTCTTTCTACATCGAGGTTGACAAGCAAACACTACAGCGCTTGAAGGACCCCTCGATGTGGCCTCTGGGATGCCTTTTCAAGCCTTTTCGTGGGGCGCTGCACGACGACATGCTTCATCCCTCTGTGCTAGTGCCAAGTGTTGAAAGTACCGTGTAACGTGGTCATTCTCTACTAGAATGTTAGTGGTCTGCGTACCAAGACAAAGGAGTTTTTCGCCGATGTTCTTTCGTCTTCTTTTCCTATTATCGCTATTTCTGAAACCTGGCTGGGCTCTGAAATTCCCTCATCTGACTCTTCCCCCAACCTTCACCACCTTCCACAGCGACCGAGGTTTAGGTGCAAACAAACGCAAAGGCGGTGGCGTGCTGATTGCCATTGACAGTTCACTGAAATCTGTTCGACGGAAAGACAGGGAATATTTCGAAGAATCTATCTAGTTAAAAACCAGCCAAGAGCGCCGAAGAAAAATTGTTTATTGGATGTTTCCATTAACCACCCAGCATTTCCCCTGCCTTGTTCCATGATGTCACATCTTCCATTGACCATGTGATTTCGTCTCATTGTGAGCACAAAACTAATGTTATTGGTGACTTCAATGTGCCCGGAATTGACTACAGCTCGCTTAGATTTTCTCATGATAATCACTTCATTGAGAAAAAGGGCAGTCTGCTCTTGGATTTTTTGGCGTATCATTCTCTACTGCAACATAACACATTCGTTAATTGTAGAGACAACGTCTGAGACTTCTGTTTGTAATACAATCAACCCGTTGAAGTTTCATGCTCCGACATCTCTCTTGTTCGTCTTGACGAATTCTACTCACCACTTAAACGTCAGATTATCTGTATTTGCTGCAACTACGAGCTAAACCAGTGATTTCACCCAATCTCCAAGATTTGATTTCAAGAAAGGTGACTATGTTGGTTTTTATCGTTACTTGCCAGCCGCTGATTCGTCACAAATTACTGATTGATTGATATGTGGGGTTTAACGTCCCAAAACCACAATATGATTATGAGAGACGCCGTAGTGGAGGGCTCCGGAAATTTCGACCACCTGGGGTTCTTTAACGTGCACCAAAATCTGAGCACACGGACCTACAACATTTCCGCCTCCACCGGAAATGCAGCTGCCGCAGCCGGGATTCAATCCCGCGACCTGCGGGTCAGCAGCCGAGTACCTTAGCCACTAGACCACCGCGGCGGGGCACGTCGCAAGTTACTCACAGACCAAATGTTAACGACCAGGTTTAGAAGCTTACGGAACTTGTATTAAACAGAATGCTTAAGTTTATTCCGCAATATACACCTAAATATTGTAAATATCCTCACTGGTTCTCCCCTGAACTTATAAGTGCGCTTAAGCATAAAGATTGTGCGCACAAGAAGGCTAAATGTTTTCCTTTCAGCAAGTGGAAGGAAGAGTTCACCTTTTTTTCGAGCTCTCTCTAAACGCCTATATAAACGGAACCACAGTTTATATATAGCTTATTCGAAAAAAAAAAATCTTTCTGACAGGCCAGCTGAGTTTTGGAGTATGTACGCAAACGGCCTAGCAAAAGTGGGGGGCCCTTTAGGTTATATACTGGACTCGGACGGTGTCGAAGTGCATGCCGTCGCTAAGTGTTTCGCCACGCATTTTTCATCTGTTTCTAAGACCTGATACTTTAGGACTCGGATAGGACAGCAGCGCTAGGCAGTTAGCACATCTAGTGGTCTGTCGCTGGATGAAAAGCTCATCTGCTCATACATTAGGTGCTTAAAACCGTCCTTATAATGTGGCCCAGATGGCATTACTTCCACCATGTATAAAGGCTTATGGTATAGTATATTTGCCCCAGCACTGTCACCACAATATTTAATAACTGTCTTAGCGTTTCCACATTTCCCAGCATGTGGGAAACTGCGCGTTTTTCAGTATTTTAGTCGGGCTGCAAAACTGAGGTTTCTATTTATCCCTCTGTTTCTCTACTGTTTGCCACATCGAAGATCTTTGAGCTGGCTCTTCACAACATATTGTATATTAGCGTGAATAATTCATTGTTTCCTAATCAACACGGGCTTCTCCCTGGCCACTAAACTGCCACAAATCTTGCCATAGTTGCCCCGCCGCGGTGGTCTCGTGGCTAAGGTACTCGGCTGCTGACCCGCAGGTCACGGGATCGAATCCCGTGAACTGCGGATCGAATCCCGTGGCTGCATTTCCCATGGAGGCGGAAATATTGAAGGCCCGTGTGCTCAGATCTGGGTGCACGTTAAAAACCCGAGTTGGTCGAAATTTCCGGAGCCCTCCACTATGGCGTCTCATAATCATATGGTGGTTTTGGGACGTTGAACCCCACATATCAATCAATCTTGCTAAAGTTTCCTGAATCTCTTCACATATTTCTCAGAGAGGACAAGTAGACGTTTTCTACTGTGACCGGAGCAAGGCTCTTGACGTGGTCAGCCACACATTGTTTTTGTTTAAACTTGCATACTTTGATGTTGACTCGTCTGTTGTGAATCTCCTGCACAGCTATCTGCATAACAGATCATGTTATGTGGCCGTAAATGCCCAACGTCACCTTGTACAAAGTGACAAGTGAACTCCCTCAAGAGTCACTATCAGGCCTGATTTTATCTTTAATTTACGTTAACGATGGTTCTTTAACCATTCGCTATTCTTCTTTTCTCTTGTATGTCGATAACATCAAGCTATTTAAGAAAATTCATTCAGTTAACGACTGTCACTTTCTGCAGTCAGATTTGTTCTTTCTCCAAATGTTGTGGCAACAATAACCTTTCCCTGAATACCTCAAAAACCAAGTTCATGGGCATATCTCGCAAAACATCCATCGTGTCATTTCCGAACTCTGTCAATACCGTGTCGTTATGCAACGTTAATGAGTTCAGTGATATTGGTGACTTTTGTTTTTGCTGTTTTGTTGTTTGATAGCATGTTCAATTTTTCTGCTCACTTCAACGTACTGCCACGTGAGGCCTTCATTCTTTTAGTTGTGTTCCTAGAATCTCACGAGAATTCAGTTCTACAGCTTTCCAGAAACATTACACCGCAATATGTCTTTCTCTACTTGAGTATGCCTGTGTTATCTTGAATGACATCGCTAAAACTGGCAGTGACGCCATTGAGCGAGTCCAGAAAAAATTCATAAGCATGCAAAACCGTCGTTTTGTTAGAAATGAGTCTGGGTCTCGTTCTAACACTGCCATATTATTATCATTGCATTCACTTTACTGCCGACGAAATCACGCCGACCTATAATTTTTTTACTAACTACTTCACGGTATGATATCCTGCCATTTGCTTCTCAGTTGTGTAAACTTTCGGATTCTGCGTAAGTTTACCAGAGAGAATCGACCATATCATGTACCTCCCAGCTTCTTTTGACACTGTATACCGTTGCCAGAATACAGAGTCTCTATAATGTTAACTTTAATGATTTTGATGTTCTTTACATTTCACTCATTGTTTTTATCTTAGCTCTGTACTGTCTTAACATATTTTCACACTATGTACAGATTCTTCCCTTTTCTGTATTTGAAGAAGGCTTCTACATAGTTGTGTATATTACCCTTTATTTTTCACTCCCACTTCACGATTCGCTTGTCTTTTTATTTTATTCTCCCAATTTTGCGCCGATTTCTTTTTGTCAGTGCGTTTTTACTCTCTTTATCCTATTTCTTTCTCTAAAGACTGTCCGTATTCTATTGTTTATTTTTATTGTTTTATTCTCGCGTGCACCTGAACTAAGACCTCGTGGTTCTTCCGGGGTACGTTAAATAAGTGATTGATGATGATGGTGGTGATGTTATTATTATTATTATTATTATTATTATTATTATTATTATTATTATTATTATTATTATTATTTGTAGTAGTAGTAGTAGTAGTAGTAGTAGTAGTAGTAGTAGTAGTAGTAGTAGTAGTAGTAGTAGTAGCAGTAGTAGTATTTAGCGTCAGAGTGAGCTGCATATACAATCTGCGGGCTGACATTGATGAGCCAAAATTGAAATAAGCCTATACGTTTGTTCACCGAGTATGCGAAATCAGTTCTGCGAAAGCACTACGCAACCAGTGAGCAATAGCGTCAGTGGGCACACTGCCGACCGCTCTGCTCTGCATTCGCTTCGTGACAGTGGCATTCCATCTGCGGCTGGGTTTTACAATAATTCGGAGTGTCGTTTACAGAGGGCGCCAAGCCGACCACCCTGCAGAAGCTGTGCATGCCCTCGGTCAACAGGAGCGAGTGCCAGAAGCCGCTTTCGCACAAAGTGAACGAGAACATGATTTGCGCCGGCGGCCGCGAGGGCGAGGACGCATGCGTGGTGAGTGGCCTTGCGATGATACGTCCATACGATATCCCCGTATCCACTCCCTGGGAAATTAAATCGTTCGCACAACTCCTGGGGCTGAACCGCCACTGTGAATGCGTCTCAACTCGAACGTTCCATTTCGTGGAACACCGTCAAACGTCGCCGGAGAGAACTTTATACATACGAAGCATTGTGATTTCGGGGTCTCTCGGCATCCTAAGCAGACGAACTGAGCATGTGTTTTAAATCTTGAGGTCACCAAAGGTTTGCCTCGGGAGCTCCTATAAAATATAATTACGCAATCCACTAGGTGAATCCTATAACCAACCGCATTCAGAACGACATGCAAAAACACTCGTGCGACTCACGTGAACACTAACACGCCTTTTTATATTCTATCTTACTACTCCTTTTCCGCACCACCAAGACTACAGCGTGTAAGCAAGCCACACGCTTGCACCGGAAAGCATAGTTCCAAATTTGATTCACACACAATCGCCAAGGTTAAGAGATTTCCGGCTGTTTGTTACGTGTTACGCCAAATCGATGCGTGATACCGTTTATTCTTCTTCGCATTCACGTAACGTGTATTTAACTGCAGTATCAGTAACCGCCGGTAAATGTGGTTACAAATCAACATGGCAGCGCTCATGCAGATGCGATCATCTATTTCGATCCGAAGTTGCGCTTCCTATTCACCCACATGCGATGGCAGCAACAAATGAATGGTGAAATGAGGCATCGTTTTGTGCCATCTCTCACTGAAGAGGAAGCTCCAAATACATTTTGTCTTCGTTTGCGAGGTCAGCTGCTTGTTTAGACACGCCGCCTAAGCTCAACGCACCGATAATTTGATAATGGTTCTCACATAGAAGTAGAAGGAAACCGTCACGAATACATCGCCATCGAAGCATTATCACGTTAAGCTGAAGCAAATACAAGCACCATTTGGTAACTTGCGGGTCACGCGCAGCACACGACGACGACTAGATAAATTCGAAGCGGATCGTGTCAGCTGCGACGGGTGCAGCAGTGCTTTTTTTTTTTTTTTTTCACTTTACTCGCCCTGCATGCGCATGCCATCAGACGCCAGGTAGACGCAGAGTAGACGACGCCAGGCGGATGAATACACGTGGAGGGGCCCATCACCCTTTCTATTAGCTAACGGTCCCTGTGACCTTCACAGAGCTGAAGAGAGGGCCCATCAGCCTTTCTATTAGCTAACGGTCCCTGTGACCTTCACAGAGCTGGAGAGAACTTCTGAGACGGAATATAAAGTAAATGTTATCACATCTACCTTTACAGATACGACATAAAAGAAGCTCATCACTGTGACGCTATGATAAGGCCGGTGACGTCATATAGACCCACATTTTAATGTCTTTCTTCATCCAACGTGTATAATTTAATGTTCTTGCGCAAATGTTGCAGAACTTAGACAGCTTGAGCTGAAGCACCGTTTTAACTCGGCTCTTAACCAGAAATGAAAATAAGTCAAATTTAAACGCTACAATTCTGCAATGTCAATTAAGACATCTGCGGCCGACAAAACCGTTGAGTGTAGAAGGTGCCACTTGCAAGAGTACTCCCGAGAAGCACGTTCGTAATGCCGCTGACTGTGCCACTCTTCTTTAACAGGAGTTGTTTTGCGAATTTGTCGTCGCTGATTCTTTCACGTTATCTCTTTAAGAGTTCCCTCAACATTTTCTCAATGCAAGCGCTGAATTTAAGGGCGGTATTATAACGTATACAAACACCTTGAACAGCCGCTCGTAGATGCATTGTGCTTCGATGCTATAGTATCCATGTCCTCTATGAAGCGTCGCGCTTAGCTGTTGCTCGTGGTAAGGTCAAGGAAAAGGAGAAAAAATATCCACTGCAGCAACCACCCGTATGACAGGCCGGAGGGTCACAACAGGGCGGTCTCATATTTTTCGGAACGAGAACTACCGCAGAACAGTGGTTATAACTTAATTTTGTGGGGAAAACAGTAATTGATTACCCGTACTGTTTTGCAATAAAATGAAATTAAATTGCCATGAAAGTTACAGTTCCGAAAAAGTAATCATTTATACTATAATTACAAGAAACTGTAAATATTTACAGAAATCAATTACTTGTAACGCGTTACATACAACTCTGTCCCATGGTGGCGTATGGGTGTGGTTAAAATTGCAAGGCGGGCTTTTTCGTATGATGTATCGTGTGCTAGTCGTCAGAGGGGTACCGCAAGGGTCGATACTCCGCCCTCTGTTGTTCATAATTATAAATGGCCTGTGTGATATTCCTCGTTCACCTAAGCTAATAATGTATGCAGATGGCCCCAAACACATTCTTCAGTGGTACATCCATTCTAGAGCTTGAACGCCTGGTTCATGACTACCTATATTAGGTGCCGGGTCATCTTGGTTTAAATGAATTGTAAAAAAAACGTTAATGAAACGAAATACATGGTATTTCCCCACCTAATAAGTCGCGTAGCTACAGTTCGACTGTTTTATTTGAGGGCAGAGAGACAGAGCAAGTCAGCAACCAGAAGTTTCTATGCGTATGGTTCAGCGAGGGCTTGACATGGATTACACATGTAGAAAAATCAATGATAGAACTTAGTAGAACCGTGGGATGTTTATACAGGCTCATCGCGGTTTTGCCAAAATGGTTACAGGTAGAATTATATTATGCACTTTTCTATTCTAAACTGACATACTGTATTTTAGTATGAGGAACTACCACACAAACAAACTATAAAAAATCACAGCATATCCACGGAGTGAATGATGATGAGCAGAGGCCGGATTTTTAGGCACTAAAAAGTGTGTTTTAGGTGTCAAGATAGGCAGGTAAACCACCATTTTAGGCCCTCCAAATCATAATTATAGGCACAACAAATTTTTACAGAAATTGATATATCCCAAAACGACGACGTCGGTAACTTGTATCTACGGCAAGAAGCAAAAAAATAATGTGTAAAATAGCAGAAAGGTACCAACGATTGAACATAGGCATGCATTTCCCGCGCGATTCGCCATATGTGGTTTTTCGTTTTGTTGTCTAGCATTGTGCGTCAAGTGTCCACCATTCAGTTAACACTCTCACGGGTCTCTTACGTTTCGTTGTGGCTGGAAAGGGCAGCGCAGGAGCAAATAACGAGACCACTGATACCCCAGAAGAGGGGCATGCTAGGTGTATTCGCGTAGGACCATTTTTTCCCCTATCGGTGAACACTTTAAAGGACCCCTCATTAGGTTTGATTATTTCTAGCTGACAAGCGTAATAATGCATTGGGCACTTGTGATCATTCCTGTTAAGATTTGCAAAATTACATGTTGCGGAAAAAACACTCAATTTCTAATGAATGTCACTTGCCCCAAGATCTACGGAGTAACGTACAGCAAGAAATGGTCCCGTTTTTACGTCGCTCCTTCACATTGACATTGATTGATTGACATGTGGGATAACGTCCTAAAACCACCACATGATTATGAGAGACGCTGTAGTGGAGGGCTCCAGAAATTTCGACCAGCTGGGGTTCTTTAACGTGCACCCAAATGGGAGCACACGGTCCTACAACATTTCCGCCTCCATCGGAAATGCAGCCGCCGCAGCCGGGATCCGAACCTACATTGACATTGGTGAGTGGACGTCGCATACTGTACGCTATTCATCAGAACTTCGTTCTGCTAACTGTATATATAAAAACAGACGGAAAAGGCTGCATCTCCTGATTATATTCTGCATTTTAAACGGAACCACATTAAGATAGTTGCACGTGACATTATTCTACTTGGCATGTGCAATTTGTGTGTTCTGTTGTGTAGCATGAATGAGGAGTACTTTGATTTGGGCTTGCTGCTTCATATCAATTTTTGAAAGCGGGAAGCGCAAAGACAAAGGGAAAAGAAAAACAGCACTCCTTGTCTCTATGTCTTTCTTTTCCCTGTGTCTTTGCACTGCCCTTTCAAAATCAGTATAATGAGTAAACGCTGAGAAAAATAATAAAACGTGCAAACGGAAACTCAGCTTGTTATTACTTTTATTTTTGTTTTGAATTGCCCCGAGATGCTATTCATCAATCGGCCCTCGTTTAGCGTCCGCCTCAGTGGACCAGTCTCTATAGGGTGCTCCGCTGCTGACCCGAATGCCGTGAGTTGGATTGTGGCCGCGGCGGTCAGATCTAGATGGATGCGAAAAAGTAGATGCCCGTGTACTGTGCAATGTCAGTGCACGCTAAAGAACACCTGTTGGTCAAAATTTGCGGAGACCTCCACTATGGCGTCCATCATATTTATATCGTGGTTTTTTTACGTAAAACCACACATACCACCACCACACCACCACCGCCACCGCCACTGCCACCGCCACCGCCACCGCCACCACCACCACCACCACCACCACCACCACCACCACCACCACCACCACCACCACCACCACCACCACCGCCACCACCACCACAACCAGAAAAACCTCCCAGAAAAACCTCCTCTTCCTTTCCCACCGCAACCCCCCGTTTTTAATGGTGCTTTTCAGTTCCTTCAGGGCACTGGACAGCTATTTATAGAAGGTGATCGCCACGTCCTCGGCCATAGCCGTCACTTTTATTTTCTTTCCCCATCTGTAATTCTCTCTCCTCCTTCCCCTGCAGACGCTGAAACATTCTTCGACTTAATGCTGCAGAAATAGTGTTTGCACTCTTCATGCTCCTCCTCCAATCGCTCGTAGCCAGTCAGATTTGTCTTCGTTGAGTCTTATAGTGTTTGGAAATATAAATGCTTCTTTTTTTTACATGAATAACAGTTTCACAACACGCTCGAAAAGAAATTTTGGGCTTGAATAGCGCTCATATACCCTGGCTACGGCGGCTGCATTTTCGATGGAGGTGGAAATGTTGCAGGCCCGTGTGCTCAGATTTGGGTTTCGGGTTAAAGAACCAAAGGTGGTCGTCATTTACGCAGTCCTCCACTACGGCATCTCTTATAATCATATGGTGGTTTTGGGACGTTAAACCCCCCATA